GGCAGGTACGTCAGGGTGATCAGCCCTGATATCCGCACTTTCTGTGGCCGCTTCGTTGGACCATCGCACACAGCAAATGGATGGTCCCCCTGCTTTTACTCCAACTGGCAGTTGCACAAAGGTGTTCGCAAAACCTCGTTCCTGAAGCTAATCAGGCTACACACACACACACGAACACGACGCAACCAGCGAGGAGGATGGATGCAAACTTTTTGTTCGCACATTGCGAAGACCTGGTGTGTCTGGACGGTTGTCTTGCTTCAGTTGTCGTTGCCTCTCGTCTCGAGAGTCGGGGCGTTGTTGTGGCATGTGAACAGGATAGAATGGCATGTCAGCCTATGTGCTGGTTCATGTGCAGTCTTGTTTGAGCCTGGCATTCGACAAATCTGGCCGTATGCAGGAAGAGACAACAACGACAACGGTTGCGTTGCAGGAGGGCATATCGACAACGAAGCAGGAAGAAACAACAATAACGACGGCCAAGATTGTCGTCGCTGAGTCCGACGAGAGTGTGGATGACATGCCGGAGGTTCTCTCTGAGCCAAAGCCAGTGTCTCCACAGGACACTGCAGACATACTGAGACAAAAGCATAGTCCTGGCAAGTTCATGTAATTCAGTCCCCAAAGGTATACACAGACTGCAATCAGAGGGGAGTTCCGCAAGATGGGCTTTAGAGATCTTTTCAAGGATTGCTCTGCTGCCATTGAAACTTTGTAATATCTGCAAGATTTCTTCCAACCTCAATGAGATCCCCAAGCATTCATTTTCAGAGAGACCTTCAAGAGGAGAGCAATGGTGATAGTGATCGCGATGACAAAGAAATCGAGCCTGTGGAGGAGTCTTGTGGAAAGCTTGCCAAGAATGGCCTCCAGCGGTTTAGGATTCAGGGTTTGGACTCGGTGCCGTGATCCGGCAAACTTGCGCAATCGTGTACACCGTAATAAATGATTAGTATAAGTAGTACTAGTACGATTATTATCCTTACTTTTACTGCTATTGTCCTTGCAACCACTATTCCTGCGGGACTAGGCAGTACAAAAGTTGTCCGACCATCTGTCAGGTTTGCGAGGTTTGATGGGCAGTTGAAGCTTGTTGTCCTGTCATCTCGCCAGGAGACTTCTTCCAAGGAGAAGATTCCGGTGGTGAAAGAGCTTTTTGATGATGAGAAGGCATGGCAGCGAGAGATGGCCCATTTGATTTGAGGCATTTCTAAGCTCCTTGAAGGTGGAGCCTGTGGGGATAGCAGGGTGCTACATCTAGAGCAAATGTTGAGGGCGTAGAGTGACCCATGTCAGGAGCTTCATTAAAGCACCCATGCAAGTTGGAGAAGCTTTTCTAAGGAGAAGGAGAAGGCAAGTGTCATCAATTGCCTCTCGACTGAATTGCCCAAGCTAAATCTAGGGTTTTCTATCCCATCAGCAGGTGCATAATGATATTGGTGGCTCCTGTGGCCATTGTCCTGGTTGTGATATGATATGTTTGTATGGTGAACACGACAAGGCCATTGATGTTTTTGGAGCTGCTTTGCAGTCCTTGTACTTCTTCTATGACGTGAGATGTGTGCAAGTAAGGCAAGCGGTGCATCTTTCGACTCGGCATTGGTCTGGAGGGCTTGCTGGCCTACCAGCTGTCAGGCAGAACAAGGACTTTAATCAAACCCAATTTGCTTTTAGGACGTTAGGAACTTCATTGCTATTCGATACTTCTTTCTCCTGTCCTACAACTAGTGGTATCGAATCTCTGCAGAACGAGGCAACTTGTGTATGGGCAGGGAAGCCACGTGTGGATGATAGTGGGAAGACAATTGGATCAAGTGGTGGCCGGGGACCACCCGCAAAGAACATGCGGGGCTCTTGTCTTGACAAACTGCCAAATGGGCATTTCTTTGCATTTCGGTGTAGCTGGTCGCTCGGCGTCATTGGGAGATGGAGATGATCGGCCTTGCCTGCATGAGAACTAGAGTTAGGGTAGCATGGAAAAGCCTGACCCCAAGCCCTGCATTTTTGCCTAGGACTAAGCCGCGGTTTGCTTCCATCTGTCGCCAGGTGTGATTGATGCACTTTGCCATTCGGAGGATTGCGACAAAACCTGCCTCTGACATGCAAGTGGGTTGACGGATTTTTTTTGAAGTTCCTTGCATTGTCACCTGAGTTCAAGTGCCATTTCCGCAGGCTTTGTAAGTACTCTTTTGGCCATTGTCGAGAATGTGCAGCATTTTAGCAGGATCCACAGAAGAGGAGTCTGACAGTATCAGTCCGTAATTACAGAGACATCAGGGGCCTACATTCCGCGTGTGATGAGTGTTACATCTATATGCCCGCTAGGCAGCAAAACCCCAACCCCCCTGAAGCCGAGGCAAGGGGTCCTATGGTGGCGTGGATCTGACCTGCGACGAGGACTTCCTGTCAGCTGACCTGACAGGTCAGCTGGACTTCTAATCGTGTGCGAGGAATGGGTTGGGGAATTCACTGCCCAAATGGGATGCAGTTCATCGATCTTGGCTTTCGCGGCGTGAAACGTCAGCAGACAATCGGGTGTTCCTAAGCGCGAAGCACCTGGCAGGACAAGGATGAGTACAAGAGCATGAAGAGAGGTCTGGTCGTGTCTTGGTCCACAAAATCTTCCGTACATTGTAATTTACACATCTACTGTTTGGTGTGTGTTTCTATGGGCACTCTGTAGACAGATTCGTCTGTACCTGCTAAGTCTTCGCAGCATGTGGTCGTCGTAATCCCATGCTCTAACTGGATATAACTGGACTGTGGGCTAAGGCACTGACGTACGGCTTGCGACGCCATATGGGCCCCACCCTGGGCGCTCAGCTACAAACTTTTACCTTTGAACCACACACCGACAAAAACAGCATCCTTCAGCATTCCCCAAGAAGGTCAAATTAGGAACCCCTTATGTTGAGATTCCCTAACTGCTAACGCCTAAACTCCGTGCAATTTCTACAACGCGCTTGAAATGCATCTTTTCATTCTTGGAAGGCCTAAAGCCTGATTTGCGGGAACCCCCTGCATTTATTCCCTCTACTTATACGTTGCACCTTGGAGGCATCCCCACTTGACGGAAGCCCACAGCCCTAGACCCTGAGCGATGAACCCTTAACCTTAAGTCCCAAGCCCAAGACCCCCAAGACCTGAAAGCATACACCATGTCATCCGGCCTGGCTCCAAGACTGAAATCGTCCGCTTGGAGATGGAGAGCCGCAAAGCCAAGGCGGCAGCCAATCCTCAGGAGAGGTTTCGGGCTCGGGCTCAGGGCTTAGGGCTTGGGATTGAGGGTTTAGGGTTGAGGGTTTAGAGTTCAATTGTAGAGGTCTAGCTAGGGCTAAGGGTGGAGCACCCGGTGTGCTTTCAGCCAGGTAGCAAAGCTCTCACTTTGTAGGGAGGATAGAAGCTGCAGTTCGTTGGAAGCATTGCTACGGATTACACTTGTGTCTTGTAATGTGCCTAAATAAGATTCAAAGGTCATGGTACAGGGAATAGAGCTGCAAGTCCCGGGAATAACTCCATAAGGATTGCCGTGACCTTGTGGAGCACTATGCATCGCAAGAAGGATATCATGTTTTTGGAATCAGTAACTGAAGCATTGCTGCCTACCTGACTGCTGGTGGACTTGGACTGGCCGACGTGCCGCTACTGAATCGCAAGGCAGTATTCATCAATTCGGCCCGAGAGTACTACAATCTCCCGATTTCTTGTTTCAGTGCAGGACCAAGCAAAGCTGAAAGAGTCAGAAGAGGCGAGCAAAGAGGACCGCCTGCAAGTTGCTATGATAGGCTTAAGGCTCAGGTATGGTCTAGCACTTCGAAATGTTTTACGGCTTATCTCAATCGCCAGCTTTGAACACATTTAATGTCCTATTGACCAATTTGATGGGTTTTGTAGGCTTCACGTAGTTTCATTTTCGATTTATGGGAGTGCCGATAAATCAAATAGAGGTGCATAAGCGTGATAAACGTGCGCCACCGTCAGTAGCATGTTTCCCACCGAGCTACTCAGGGGGTTGACAGCATGGTGTCTTTTTTAGTAATGTGGCATTAGAGTATGCCGTCTAGGCAAAGATGACTGACCTTCATATAAGGACCAAAAGGTTGAGTCGAAGAGCCTCTGGCAGAGTAGACGGTGGACTTCTGATTCTGATCATGCTGCCGGTATGTGATATGCAATTTCTGATTTGTCTGGCCTTCCAACAGCGGAGGTTCTTTGTTTCAGAGGGTGGAGTTTGTGTAGCTTTGGGAGCTATATAGGTCATGGTGTAGGAGGGTTTCTGTTTCGGCAATGGAGCGTCTACCCGTGTAAGAGCTGTTGCTTACCTACATTGTAGTCACCAGTGCCAGAGGTGTAGATTTTGTGCTTCACACATGCTCCATACGTGCTTCATTCTCCATACATGGCCATGCCTCGTGTAAAGTACATGAGACCTGTTTTTGCTGCCTTAGCACATGCAAAAAGCGTGAGAGGATGGAAAACTCTCTAAGGACAGGGGTCCTTTCCCTTCCTTTTGCCTCTTCTTTTTCACTCTGGGCTTTTCAGGTTCTTATCTTTGGGCTAGCCTAAAATCGTGCCTCCTCCAGTTTCGTATTCAATGCTTTGGCTGCTTGTGCTGTTGGCAGCGGAGCCCATGAACTTGAAGGACTTTTGTAGACCCTACCCTGAAGCCTAAGCCAAACCTGCAAGAGTTTTGAACTCTAAATCTGCAATCTGCAGGAGACAAACTCGCTTCCGGAGACATCACCTGCGGTTCTGGCAACTGAGGCTAGAGAAGCTTGCTGCCATGGGCTACAGAGGGCATGAAACAGGGATTGCACATGCAGGATTCGGGGATTACACAGGGGTTTGATGCTGATTCTCTGTGCTCGATTTTCTCTAGGATGGGACGGTTTGGCTAACGTGTCAACTAGGTGGGGGTTTTACTTGTGGCGATGGAGGCTCTTTGTTTTTTACATGCAGCAATGCTGAATTTTAGCTTGGTCACTTAGGTGCTGACATGAAAATGTGGTAATTAGTAGAGGGCCGTAGGTGTTTGATGCAGGAGGAGAAGGAGCCTTGCTTGTCTTTTAACCGAGTGCTGCTTTTTCTCCTCTTTCATGGCAAAGGTTTTGAAGAATGGAAGATCAAATGCCGTGAGCATCCGCATCCTGAGCTTTACCCTCCTTTCTTGAGCCAGGTGACGTATTCATACATGCCCTTGGGCCACCTGATGCAGGAAGTACCGCTCTCCTTCAGATTGTCCAAAGCCATGTCGAGGGCCAACAAATTCTGCGCCGGTCAGCTGGCTCCTGCACCTACCATGCGTGTACACTGACCCACTTGGAGGTTCAGGGTAGTTGTGACCTACTTTGCAGCTGTATTTTTGCGTTGCCAACTGCCTTTGTCGACTTGAGATATGCTTGCAGCTACAGGTCACCATTTTGTCCCCAAGAATGGATTATGTTCTTACAGTCTCCCGACGTTGGCCCCGAACTTTACCCGAAACCCTCGGCTTGGCACCTGGCTGTCTGAAAAAGGCCCCAGAACAAAAGAGCCTACACCCTAAACCCTGGACTCCAAACCTTGAATGGCAGTTTGTTACACACACACACACACATCTGCAGAATGAGACTTTCACATATTCCCACGATACATAAAAGAAATCTTGCAGCATCCTTTCGACCTTATACCCTAGGAACTGCAGTACGTCGGGAGTTTAAGCGGTGCAAGATATTCCTCCATCGACCAGCCACCTAGGCATCGCTCGGGCAGCTCCTTTTGCAGATACTCCCAAATCCCTTGGTAGACCTGACGAGCTCCTCCCGCAGGCCTGCCGAGGAGCTACAAACGAGCAAGCTGCCTGGTCTAAGAGCGAGCTGGCAACTTGGCTGAAGGGGGGGCATCAGATTTTTGGGGTTGAGATTAGGATCTGGGGTGCTACTACCGCCCAAAACAGTGGCACCACCAACAGCAACATGATGCGACAAGACAGTGAGAGCAGGAACCATGAAAGCCAGTCTAGAACAATTTGTTGTTCTCAAGCTGCTTTTTCTTTTTTTCTAACTTTGTAACGCTTCTTTTACATGATCTTATCCATATGCTGGCCGTGCAAGGCACCAACCCAGTGGAAGAGTGACTTCAGGGGGGGTCATTGGGAGATTGCGAAATTGACTGTTTCAACACAGATCCAACATAAAATAATCTTTTGATGAGACTCCCAAAAAGCCACTCCCCCCCGTTTTGGGAACCAAGAATGTAGACTCGCCGTTGATCGCTGTACTTGGCCGATGCTTGAGGTTGCAGCTGCTGGCAACCCCCGTAAGAACAAGGCAAAGCTGCAAGTTGCACGTGAACGTACCAAGCAGAATCACTGCACAAGCAAGTGTCTTGTTCGTGATTTGCATGGTCTGCCTTACATTGCAGCATGCTGGTCATGCCGTTCAGGACAAGCAAGCCAAGAAATACTTGGAGGCGTGGGCAACGGAGCCGGCAAAATGTCTCTAGATTCTTAGGAGAGACGATGGCAACAATGAGATCGGGACTTTGAGATTTTCGACCGGTGTTGGGTGGAAAGAAGGGAAGTTGTTCCGTTGATGGTTTCAAACTGTTCAGATTTGCTTGCAAGGCACAGGCTGGATTGTCACAAATCCAGGGTGTCTCGCCCTAGTGGATGGTGTGTTAGAATATCGTTATCCTTGGGATCTTGATAGTGCGCTTTTAAGAGGACTGCAATTCTCAGACGCAGTAATCGCATTGAGGCAGACGTGGCAACAGGTGTAACGAAGGGGCGCTACTCGACAAGTGTGGTCTTGCTTCCTCAGGGTTCAGATCCTATCTCCATCTTCTCCCACCACCCTGTGCATGTTCAGCTTATCTGGACTTTGGGACCAGAGCTTCCTGGTCAATTATTCCTTTGCACCAGACACTGCGAGATGTTTCATACAGCCCTGCATGTGATGGTGCCGTCTTCGAGCGCGTTGTTGCCCCATGGATAATTGCAAGTCGGGTCATAATTACCAGTACCCTCATTCAGGTTCTAGCTGTAGTTTTCCTTTTTGTAGTAGGTTTCGGGTGAGACATGCAGCCCTGTGCCAGAAAATCTGCAGCGAGCGTTCGAAGCAAGTGAAAGTGCCCGGGTTCCAGTGCGCGGCGGTCTACACCATGATGATGGGCGTCAAAGACAAGGTCTGGCATTTTCTCCACCCACCTTTGTTTGCGTTCTTTTCCGAAGATGGCTTAGTGTTAAGAGGACCTACGAGTGTCCTTGTTCCGAAAGTTGTTTGGGTAAGTCCAGCTGGGGTTTCTTGGTTGCCAGATTTCAGCATTAAGCAGGAAAGCTGTTGCCGGGATTTCCAGATTAAGCTTGCCTTGGTTGTGAGGTGTGCTTCCAGTTTTTTTAATATGGGGGCTTCCAAAATTCAAGGCTAAGATGCATGGCGCCTTTTCTCCCTCGGCTTTCCCCGGCCTTTTTAGTCAAGGCCTGTCTAAACAAGCGTAAGTATTTTGAGGACAAAAATGGAGTACTTGTGGAAACTCACATATTTGGGTCAACTTGTTCTCATCTGACATTGGATTCCCTGCAGATGGTGCCGGGCAGCACTTTGACTGCAGCTAGCTGAGCTCCTAAAGTGCCAAGTGGCTGCTTTCTCGTGAATCTTCCAGCGGGTTGAGTGTTGCTGACAGAGATATGCTGATATGCAGGCAATCTTGTGCTCTGAATGGAGGGTTCTAGATCTTCCGCCTACAGAATCCTTCAAGGAAACCCTGATAGTCCGGTTGTGATCCGCAGGTATCCCTGTTTAAGTCGTCTCACCTTGTGTAAAGTCGTCTCGCGCGGGCGTGCACATGGGGATTCCGCGTGCAAGCTCGTAAGAACATTTAGCTGGAAGTCATCTCACCTTGGCAAGCACATGGGGATCC